GATCTTCCTTTTCTCTGATGTAACGTCGTAGAAGTTCCTCCAAACTGTTATCTTGCTGACAGCAATTTCACCAATTCAACCAACACCAATCGCGCTTCCTGTTGAACAAGACGGATCCGGTCATCGAGAAACTATTATTCCCTTGCCACCTACTAAAGAAGATCCAGCAGGGTTTAGTGGTACAGCAGGTGGACTTAGCGATAATGGTACTTTTGTTACGCCTCAAGCGGCCAACTCAAGTGTAATTCTTGCAGTTGGTACGACCTTTCAAAATTGGGAAAATGTGGATGAATTTCTTGAACTTTACGGTCGAGAACGGGGATTTGTTGTCAGAAAAAAACGAGTTGAAAGAGATGAAATGGGAATGGTTAGAAAAAGAACGTACGATTGTGAACACGGAGGACGATATACTCCAAAAAAAAAAGCAGCAGTACATGAGCAACGCAATCGAACGTCTAAACGTATTGAATGCGGATGGCATATCAACCTTTCTTTTCCAAAGACAAGTACATGTATAACTGTTACTACGTTTGTGAACGAGCATAATCATGAACTTAATATTCAACAAACGCGAGAAGCTAGACCATCAGCACAACCATCAACAACTCAAGCGATTTCATCACCTAGATATCGCAGTGTGTTGGAAGCAGCATCACCAAAGAATCGAAATTTACCAAAAGCAGTCCTTGATGATATTGAATTTTATACGCTTCATGGTAATTTGGGAGTTACCACTCAACGACAATTATTGAAAGCGAAGTATCCGAATCATCAACTTCCGGCACGTGACATTGCTAGCGCAGTGCAAAAATTTAAAGGAGGGACCGATTTAAAAGGGTTAGATAATGACGCTGCAAAACTTTGGATCTGGGAATTGGCGCGAAGAGCAACACAAATCGCGGTTGATCAGCAAGATAACAGTTTGGAGGAACTTCTACGACGTTACATCAGAGAAAAGGAAGATCGTATTGGGAGGCAAACATCTCAAACAACTCAACAATAAAATCTATCAATTTTGCTTCAAGAAAGTTTATCGCATGAGTGTGAGACATTGTAAAATAAATACTTTAGTGACTAAACTGTTTTTGGTTAAAGTTTATATTATTATCATTATTATTGTTATTTCTTTTTTTGTATGTTGAAAATTATTATGACTCATACTATTCTGAAAGTTGATTTGGAAACCGGTGATATCTGTGGAACACGATATAATCGAGATGTTGTGGACTAAAATGAATTTTAAAATGGTATGCTTGCGTTGATATGCCTACTATGCTCAGCTGTGTAAATCAGATAATGTTAAGTAAACGATGTAAATGATTTTGCATGATCAGCCTAGTTTTCTTATTTTTCTCATGTTGAGAGTTACATTGACTGACTAGACCGCCACGGGGTAATGGAAAATAAGTGGTGTTAAAAGTTTTCAATGCAAAATGAATCACGTGATCGATAGCAAATACGTATTTATGTAAAATTCACAGCATCTAATTACAAATATAGAACGACAAACTAAATTTACGTGTGGCGTCATAATACATAGTGGTCGCAGATTCAGGAGAAGGCTTTAAAGAAATCATTTTCAATGAAGATCAATCAAAAATATCCAAACTAACACGGTTCTATTTGTAGCAAGATTAATAATAGGTAGTAAATTTGTCGATTTTTTTAGTTTCCGAATAGTCTTTTGTTATTTAAGTGAATGATTATCGATTGCGGAAGTATCTAGGCATATAAGGTTTAAAATATTTTGAATGAAAACTCTCCTTTAGGTATCAACTGAGAAAAATTGTCTCATCAAGCATCCAATTACACTCACAAACAGGTAACTCTGACTAGACAAAATGCTATAAATCCTTATTGATCACATAACATCTTAATTATTATGACAAGAGAAACTTTAAGATAAATAAAATAATTATTTGTTGTCATAAATACGAGTACGAACAATAACTTTTGAAGGTTCAAATACATGATACGGTTCTTCATTTATATACAATGGAGACGTAGCATTACTATATAACATAGCGGGCTTTCATTCTTATTGGCTAATTTTTGTAGATCATCTGATGACGATACAAAATCTGATTGGCTA